GAGAGAGAGAGAGAGAGAGAGAGAGAGAGAGAGAGAGAGAGAGAGAGAGAGAGAGAGAGAGAGAGAGAGAGAATGGGCCCACCGGTGGCAGGTCGAGCGGAGGCAAGTGGACGATGGCGGGTCGACACTGTCGGGGGCGAGAGAGAGAGAGAGAGAGAGAGAGAGGACGTCGTCGACACGGACGGAGGTGGACGCGCGCGGGTATGAGAGCGCGTGGTCGCGCGCGCGCGCGCGCGAGAGAGAGAGAGAACGGCCCCACCGGTGGCAGTCAGAGCGGAGGCAAGCGGGCGACGGCGGGTCGACACGGTCAGAGGCGGATGCGCGCGGGTACGAGACACACACACACACACACACAGAGAGAGAGAGAGAGAGAGAGAGAGAGAGAGAGAGAGAGAGAGAGAGAGAGAGAGAGAGAGTGAGTTTGCATCTGTCGGTTGCCTCCACCTTTATACTTCGGGCCTGCCGTTGAAACTGAGTGGCAAGGTCCAAATTGGTGGATACTGACCGTATGGGAGTTGGTTACCCATCTATCGACACTGATTGGGGAACAGGTGACTAGACAACAACTCACAACGTTAAAGCCAGTCTGCTCGCTGTGAGATGAGAGCCAAAAGGAAAATCAAATAAAAGAAAATGCTCTTGCGAGTGTGGCTCGCCAGCAGAGCAGAGTGGGCCTAAGTAGATTTGAACTACTGACTTTACACTTATCAAGCGTATACTCTAACCAACTGAGTTATAGGTGATAAACAGGTGACTAAACAACAACTTACAACATTAGATACCAGAGAGATCGAACTGGTTTTGTTTGATGGTGAAAATTCTTTCAGAAGCGGGTGCTTTAGAATATTCTATTATTGTAACAAGGGGCCTAGCTCAGTTGGTACACCCAATTGCTGAAATACAGACCCAAGTTCGAATCCAGATGCAATCATAATTCTGAATTAGCTGGGGACAGTCAGCTTAATGATGACATCTCAAGGCCGTCGCTCTTTTAAGGAAAATAAAAGAGGACGGAATCATAGAAAGAAACAGAGGAAGAAAGGAGAGAAAATCGGAACAAAAGAAGAGAAGGAAGGGAAAGATGCAGTTTTCAGTACAACAGTTTCCCGAACTGTGATTCCTCCCACTTTAGTTTTTACTGCTACAGCTTCCTGTCCTGCAGCTCCAATGCAAAGAACATCACATTCTCTTCGATGCTCACGTCCTTTGCTCCAAAATCTTGCCCAATCCACCTCCCTCTCATCTTTGTCTGTGCTTCACCGTAGACGGTTGCGTTCCTCCTCACCAACCCCATCTCCTCCACGGTCTCGCTTGCGAACATACTCTCCAGTTTCCATTGTTCCCATTCTTCCACCTTCGTTGCTAGGTACAAGGTCATCTTCTGTTTGCAACACCACTACTTCTCTTGTTGTGTATCACCGATGACATCCACGGCATCGTCACTTGTCCGGGGATCAGCAACCTGTTTCTTTGTCTGCCCCGATTCTCTCTGTGCCTCCTCCACAGGTTGTTGCGGTTCCTTTGTTTCAAATGGCAATATCTGCTCCTATGCCTCCTGCAGACAGTCCAGCTGCCTGCAGGCAGCCACGGTACCCTGCGGAGCTAGATATTCACGACTCACCTGCACAACACGATGTGGTCCCTACTCCCGACTCCAGGTACAGTCCCTACTCAGGATGCAGCCCTAAACGTTAAGGGATTGGAACATGATCTGCCCGGATTGCAGTTGACCTCACAAGGCGTAGACCACATGGGGGATCTGCAAATGGCTGACCAGCATTGTTCGGATGAACCACAATTTTGTGCTCCGCCACACGCAGACCACATGGGTGATCTGCAAATGACTGACCAGCAAGCAACCCAACACAGTTTGGGCTTGCAACACCATCTGGGTGATCTGCAAATTGTTGGCCAGCATCCAAGAAACCAGCCTGAGATCCTCACCAATCTCTATGGTCTGACAGCAACTAATATCTGTCTTCACATTCTCCACCGCCCGTTTTATACACCATCAGCTTGATGTTGATCTTCCCCAACTACAGCCAGAGGATTGTAATTATACCAGCGAAGGAGGCTTTACCATTGCTGTCCTACAAGTAGCAATGAGGGACCGTCAACTTGAACTACGCAATGCTCAAGCAGGTGAGTGGTTTAATCATCCATCCCACATCTCTGCCTGCAATTTGCACGGCCCTGGCCATTGTACATGCCTCTGACCACTGGGAGCTGTGGGACAACGGCACCATGGTCCATGCCATGATTTATGTCATTGATTTCTTACAAAATGATGTTGTTTTCTTGCCACAACAACCCGTCCGCAATCTCTTTTATGTCGAAGATCATTCCGCTGGCCCTGTGCTGCAGCAAGACAATGTACCAACACACTGCGACCTTCTCCTTTGCACAGCCACAAACACTGTTACACTCGGCTGTAGCCGCCATTGCCTCTGTCACAATCACTACAATGACATGGTTTCTGCATCCAAGTGTGCAGAGGACTGTCCCACCGTTCCTGACTGCAGGCACCCTCCGCATCCGGACACTAGATTCCCATTTTGCAGCCATGGGCGCTATACTGAATGCATGCTCTTTTGTGGTGACCGTTCTTCCTTCATTTTGACCTGCAATCGACATGCCATTTGTCGGGGGTGTATGGTGGGCATGCGCAACGCCAGCCGTCGTGGCAATTGTTGCACTGAGAATGCTCAGCTAGGTCTTCCATGTGTTCATCCACGTCATCCTTACAATGTATGTCCTCTCTGTTGTGAAGGACAGGCTCATTCTTGAGCCTTTTCTTATCCTCTTTTGCCTCCATCTTCACTCCACACTCCACTTTCCATACTTTCCCTTACTTTCCCTTACTTTCCCTTACTTTCCCCTTATCGTTCTTTGTTTGTCTGCTCTCCATCTCTCCTCCCTGTGTTTATCCCCTCCCCCTTCACTCTGCCTCTTTCTCACAGCGTACAAGTGGGCTGTTATGGCACACGGGGATGGGGGCATCTCGCGCTCAACTTCATCAACGTGGCGAGCCTTGTACGTGAGAGGCACGGTGAAAGGGGAGTCGAAAGAAGAATGAGAAAAATGAATGGTTTTAGTGTGCCCTTTTTTTCCCTTTTTTTCTTTCTTTGCCGTTTGTTTTGCAACGTGCGCTCTTTTAGTTCATAGTTATGTGACAATATATATGAGTACATTGCCAGTTACTAGAATACATTTGCTAGACACTCTCGATTTGCTTCTTTCTCGTCCCTTTCTCAGAAATTGCAYAKHTGGCGTTCTGCAATCCTTGGGCATTGTCAATCCAATGCGACTTCGTCTTCCAATCATGTGAGCCAACAACATTCACTTCGTTGTGCACATGCCTCCTTACGCCATCTGCAACAACACTTTGCCATTTGGCAATTTGT